CTTCCTAAGCCCAAATCCCCGATCCTCTTTACCTTTTCCTGAACTTAATCCCCCTCTAATCCCATTGATTTCTTCTTCTTCGCCAAACCTTCCTCCATCAAAGCCCTCAAATCTTCACTAATTTGCCCCCATTTTTTTCCCCCTTCTGTCTTATCCTTTCCTTTCCCTCCATTTTCATTTTTTTTTTTTTTTTTTTTTTTTTACCTTTGCCTTCTAGAAATCAGATCTTAAAAGGCAAACCCAGGTGCTTGGGTTCACTAGGTTTGTCACAAACCCAAGTGCAAGGTTTGTCATGAACAACCCCCCCTCCTTTGGCTAATACCATCACAAAGACAAGGTTAAATCCCCATTTTGGTCCCTGAACTATTGTATGGACCCTCGATTTGGTCCTTGAACTAAAGAAATCCCTGATTTGGTCCCTAAACTATTGTATGGACCCCCGATTTGGTCCCCACTGTTTATAATTTAGCCTAAGTTGGTCCTTGCTATTTACAATTTCACCCCAATTTGGTCCCTGAGCTATTATTTAACAGAAGGACCAAGTTGGGGCTACATCGGTAAACAGTAGGGACCAAATTGGGGATCCATATAATAGTTTAGGGACTAACTCAAGGGTCCATACAATAGTTTAGGGACCAACTCAACGGGTCTGTACAATAGTTCAAGGACCAAATTAAGGATTTTTTTAGTTCAGGGACCAAATCGGGGTCCGTACAATAGTTCAGGGACCAAAATAGGGGTTTAACCCAAAGAAAATCTTGGTCTTGGTGGCAAGCACCTCGAAGAGCTTGAGGATGTGCGGATGACATAGCTGACCATGATGGCGATCTGCCCCATGAGTCCCTCCTTCACGATCTTTTACTTACACATGGCCTTAATCGCCACGCTTTGTCCGATATGTATGTTCCTCTTGTGACACACCTTCGCAAACGAGCCACGGCCAAGCAACTTCCTGATCTCATACTTGCCGAAGAGTGCAGCCTCCGATTGTAACTCCAATGACTCACTAACAGTTTCGTCTTCAACCTCAATCTCTGGCATTATTGAATCACAAGATCAAAATTTTGAAATATCAACAAAATCTCTCTCCTCCTCATTAACGAAACGAGATTTTATTTTCACCCAATAAAAATTTATGAATAATTTCCACGATCTTTCGGGTGTGATATAACAACAAAAATTAATTTAATTTCTTTTTTTTTTTTTTTGAAAGGAATTTGTTGAATTGATTAAGGAGAAAGGAGATGGGCACCTGAACTAGGTTTCATAGACCGGTATAGGAATTCCAAATTTGGGGTTCATTGGGGAAGAAGGTATTTAAGGGAAATGAAGGTGGAGGCAATTTTGTCATTTTGAATATGATAAATGAATGTGTTTTTCAAACTTTGGAAGTTTATCATCTTGTCATTTTGAATCTAATAAGTGAATGTCTATAGATGATGGGAATCAAGATGACCCCACATGTATCACGTCAAGAGATCCATTACATATTCCAAGAGGTCCAGTCACGAGAGCTAGAGCTAAGAAGATGCGCAAACCTGATTTAGAGATCTGATGCTCTGATACCAAGATGATGGGAACCCCAAAGAGAAAAATGAGACCCACAGCACGACAAGGGATTTTTAAACTCAGGAAAGCTAAATCAGGTTTATAATAAGACCTTGACCCGTTGTTTATGTCGCAACAAGAACCAAAGGTAAAAACCTTGACCTGTTGTCTATGACGCAACAAGAACCAGAGGTATAAAGTTGGTTGACGCCACACCATCTTGTTGCGACACTAACTCATGATCTTGCCGATCTCCCCACCTTGCCAGATTTTGGTCTCCTTTGTTAAGTCTATATCTTTGACCCCCTCTACCTCTCATAAATCTGTCCATGCTGAAATTTGAGTTCTGGGCATCATCGTTGAATGCATCTTCATCATTGTCATCAGGATCGTGATTATGCAAATTTGGACTTCCATTCTGTATTTGGTATAACTTGGCAATGGCTGCATCTTGCTTCTCCATTTTGTCTTTAATTTCACCAAACATGATGTCTAGCCTCTGAAATTGTTGTTGCATGAAGGAATCATCCACTTGGTGTTTTCTGTCATCACCGCTTGACATGATTGAAACCTACAAGGAATGTTCGAAACAGAAAAATAAAAGGACCTCACAACACTCCCTTACGTGTTTCACTCCACTCATAGAATGGCACTCAACGCTCGTGTTTTGCACACTGTAGAACTTGGCTTTTCTCTCAAGTATATTGCTCACACCTCTTGCCTTTTTCCCTCACTCAACTTTTCTCTTTCAGTTCGTTATTGAACTAAACAAGCTCAAATCAAGTTATTTTGTGACAATCTAACTCCAACAAATCTGCAAGAGTTAAAGGAAACAAAAAGACACAAAGGAACGACCAAGAAAAGCAATAAAAGAACCAACCCAAACAAATTAAAACAAACAGATCAGTT